CCCCAAAACCCCAAAACCCCAAAACCCCAAAACCCCAATTTCCACAAAAAATTTGATTAAATAAAAAAATTACAAAAATGAACCACTTCTCCCCAAACCTCCCTAATCCCTCATTCAAAATAAAAATCTCCAAAATCACCTCGTGCCTCCCCACTCAAAACCAGCCGTTCACAAATCTCTGTAGTTGTACGTACAAATTTTATAATTTTCCTTCTAAATTTGTAATTTTGTTCTGAATTTTAGTACGGATTTGGCACTGAGGTTGTGGTAGGGTTTGTGTGCGGTGGATTAGGTAAATTTTTATCTGTCTCTGGGGTTTAACCTTGAGATATTAGAAAATGAGGGATTCTTTACTTGCTTTGATGTGTAGCAAGGCCAAATTACTCTCTTTGATACGATATTTCAAAAAATGTCAACTAAAATTATTCATCAATAAAATATAACTAAAATATTCCCTTAAACTCTGAATATAGCGAAACCATTGAAGGCCAGGCCAAAGCCAAAGAAGACAATTGAGACTGAATTACTAGATCCTGTAGCCAAGATCCTTAGTAAATATCTATCTGAAGAGAATATCTTTAAAATCCAGAAGAGGTTTCGTAGAAAAGCTATTAAACGGAATGTAATTGATAGGCAAAGGACGAGACAGAGAAAGTCTAAGAATTTGTGGATGAATGATGGGATTGTTTCGTAAGTCAGAAAGTGAACGTTTAGCAAAACATGCATGAATTTCTCACAATCTCCCTTGAAGAAAGGTAGGGTTAATGATTTAGGCCAAAATCTTGGTTAAATATGACACAAAGTTTAGTAGTATCAGTTTCTAATTATGGATCAGAAAAGAGTGATATTTTAATCTTATTTCAGGACTCAATGAAGACCTTAAAGATACAAATATGAACGTTCTTGGATCAAAGGTGGTCAGTAAGAGCTTATTTTTTATTTATAGGCGTTCTAAAATAAGAAATCTCCAGATTTAAATCCAGAAGAAGTAAGTTAATTCTTCATAAAAATACATTCATATCAAAACAAAACTCTATTTCTAATTAACAAAATCCCAAATCCCCCTATCTAGAAACCCAACACTCAAACCTCACCCAAAATCATCATCAACAACCAAATAAACCACCCTCTCAAGCTCAGCGTACCTCTTCCTAACCCCCTTACAGCAAAACTACCCAAGCTCCCTCCAAAACCCCTCCTCCAAATCCCCTTGGCTCCATAAATCCCCTTGGCTCCATAAATCCCCTTCCAAAACCCTCTATCAATCCACTTCCAAATAAATGTAGCCTCACTCCCTCACTCTCTAGCTGCCCATCTCTTCTCAAGTCATTCAGAATCGGCTTACATTGATATCTGTTCGCGACCGAGTTCTAAGAAGGCTCAAGATTATGAAAGTTATTATAGAAATCTTATTTCTTATAACAAGAAATTACTTTCGGATTCCATGAGCGAAATAGAGAGCTTGCATGCGATTAAAAACAGTAGGATGGCCAGAGGGGAATGTAAAGATTTTTATGATTTAAAATTTGTATTGGGATTTTAGTTAAGCTTTTTTGGCGAGTTAAATTGGGATCTTGTGTTAGAACGTTATATTCATGGTTTAAGGTATGAAAATTATTGATTTTTAAATCCTTTGATTGCTTATTTTGTCACCTAAATGATAATGAGGCTAGAGATTGACTTTTGAAAATATAATGATGTGTTATTTAATTTAAATTAAGACTTCAAAAACTGACTGGGTTACCTGAAAAATGACTCTTGTTTAAGAATTTAGAGGTATAATATTTGATGATTAAATAAGTTATAATACAGGCGGTGACAGAAACCACTCAGAGGAAACTAAGCGATCAGTGCTGAAGAAGATTCCGACATGAATTTCCAATACTAAATTTTAAGTTCAAAAGATCATCCCAAGGTAAAAGAATGAAGAAAAAATAATTATGAGCATTCTAAGAATCTCAGTAGCGCACTGAAGTGATTTGGAAGGATCCCAGATCCATATATTAAGGCTCAGAGAGTTGGAATTTCAAGGAAGTCATGGGATAGAAATATAGATATCGGTAGTCAGACACCTATTCCTGGGTATAGTTATCTTAATATCAACCTCAATGATACTTCCAGTTCTCAAAATATCTATAAGAATTCAACGAAATGAAGAAATTGTAAGCCAAATTTTGCAATTTTACAAACTACTCCCTTATTCATAGCTTTATGTGATGAATCTCAGCTTTACATCTAGCAGCTAAACCCCTGGTTTCTCCTCCAGGATTTACAAAAATTACCAATATCCCAAAACTCAAGCTAAATTCAAGAAGTGGAAGGAACTCAAACATGGTTTCACAAGGAATTTCTTTTAGAGGAAGGAATATTTCTTGCAACACTTCAATAACTCCAACATTGTCAGTACCTCAAACCGTCAAAATGAGACCACCAGAGCCAACAGATTATTTAGATTTTTAATATGTATGCAGATTCAATATTTTCCACAATCTTTGGGGTTTTGGGGTTTTGGGGTTTTGGGG